TAGTCAAGAAATTTGCAATGGTGAACTGGCAAGTCCCCAGACATCAGCTTATCTTCATATAATACCTGGGCCTGACATCTGGTTCATTTACACCTCTAATTTCTGCATTGCCCACCTTAAATAAAATCAAAGCCAGGCACAATGGTGATTTTATATTCAGCTTTGTTTTCCCTGGCTCTACATTTATTTAAATTACTCTATCATCTCAGCTTCTCATTTGGGATCCTTCAAGCCGTTGGAGAGATTTTGACTGCTGTGTTTATAACTGTAAGCATTTATTTCCATTTGGTATATCTCTTCTACAAGTAATACTTTAATTGCAAAGTAGTTCAGCTCCAAGGCAGCCTCTTTACAGTCAAATCAGCTCCTGCATTAACTCAGATTTATAACTGGCCTTTCTGGGGCATAGAGAGGTCAAAAACCATTTGCAAAGGTGCATCAAGAATCACTGAACATGATTCATGGGCCTAATTAGGGCCCAATGGCTTGGTGCCTTTTTGTACGTAATGGCAGCATCATTACTGTCCAGAGAACTGAAGAGTAACTTGAGGAAAGGAAAACCCTCACAGATTTTTTTCCAAGCTTTTCAAGTTAACAAATATTAAAATTACAAGAAAAAGACATTTTCAACAAAGTTCCACCATCAAAAGACTAATGAAATACCTTTAGAAAAGTTAGCATTCAGACAATGTTCAGGCTTCAAATTTGGGTTGCAGTGTCTGGCACTTTACAGAGAACAGCTAGCAAAAATTCTGGGTAACAAACCCTAGCCTGGAGATCGATGTAATGGAGAGAGAGGGTGAAAAGCCATCGACAGAAATACACGCGAGTGCACAGGCATTAAACGATCGAACCCGCAGAGATTCACCAATTCCAGCCCTTAATGGCATCTGACAGAGGAGCGCTGCACGTGGCCAGCACGGAGCACCACCACACTCGTTCGGCTGAATCAGCTCGCAAACCACATGCACCCTGCAAGCTTTCCCACAGTGTTAAACAAATACAGTATGTGCATCGATTTTTACTGATAAAAATATCAGCTCAAATAATTGGCCTTTTGTAGCGGCGTTTTCAATACTCTTTGGGCCAGGAGATGCTACGGGTAACTGGGGGATGGAACTCCCAGAGGGATGAAGGAGACTCTCCCCTGGGAGAGAGCAGTCACAGGAGAGCAGGAGCAGATCCTGCTCTTACTCCTCCTTCACACAGCGTTTGCAATCACTGTGTATGCACAAACCTCCTGTTGCTGAGGTGCTGTACAAAGGTGCTGAGTCTGCACTAGACACCTGAAAAGCCAAATCTAAGATCCCTACAGTAATTCCCACACAAGGCCATGTGAAAGACTGAAAGCTTCCTGAGTGCCACAGGGATTCTGAGCACAGTGCTCATCTCTCCTGCACAGGGCAGGGATTGATTATTCAACCTATGAATTAATGAATTACTTGCAAACAACAGAGTTCTCCCGTACAACCACAATCAAAACAAGCCTGACATTATTGGATCCAATTTGCCATTGGAATTTGCAATGCCAGGCTGTATCCTAAAGCAATAAAACTCCTACAGAGTTGCAGAGATTTCTTTTCAAAGCAGGCAACTGTGCTCATCTGATCTGACAGTTCAGATATATGCTCCCTGCTGTCCTAAACACAACTTCCATTAATAAACCTACCATGTTACACTCAATTGGAGCTCCTCACCTCATTAGAGGAACTAAGGAGTCCAGGAAACACTATCCAGGAGCCAGGAAAATAGCCTTGTCTCCCTTTTACAAAGCAGGGCAGCTAGACAAGTATCTGGATTGCCCCACAAGAGGAGACGGTGAAAGGGCTAAACCCTGGGGCTGTGTTCTGACCATCCCCTCCGCAGCAGAGCACAATACGTGAGCGTGTCTGTCATGTGCTGAATACAACCTCTAGAAAGAGAGGAGACCATTTCCTTTCACTGCTTGGTCTGTGTATTCAGCTTTCTGGGCAGTTAACATGGTATGGGCCTCAAGTTTTCTCCACTTACCAAAGGCTAAAACTAACAGAAATGTTCCTGCTCAGGCTCAGAAGATACACAGCCTCCTTGCAGATGCAGGAAGATGAAACAGAGGAGTTGGAGACTTGACCCAGTCAGAAGGCCCCTACGCCGCCTTCACTGCCCTCAGTTCCATCCTTCTGCATGAATCTTTCGGAAAACCCCATGGGAGAGAGTTCAAAGGAGATGCTGACCCCGAAATAGCCTTCTCCATAACAAATAAATGCTTGAGGAAATAAGGACTTGGGAATATGAGTCACTGCCTTTGGTTACTGTCTTGATAGCATAAAGAAGGCATAGACAACTGGCCGAAGAGGTGAAATTTTTGCGTGGAGCCTTGAAAGACCATTTTCCTTTGGGCGGCAAAGGAATCTTCTGGACACAAGCTTATGCTCTGAACTTCAGGAAACACACTTTGCACAACAAGATGGATCAGCATAGAGAGACTCATACCACTCACCCCATCCTCTAGGCCACCTGCTCGCAGTCAGCCTGTCCCCAAAATGCACTTCTAGCTGTAGCAGGACACCAGGAAAAAAACCTCTATTTGTCCTGAGCACTGAGTTTCATAAAAACACAGCAAGAAAGAAGCTTTAGGCTTAGATCACATTCTTCAGCAGAAGAGGACTGACAGGTTAAATGAAATTCTGTCTTTTTAAAGCATGTTAGAGGACTTTGTTCTGACAAAGCGCGGCTGGCTGCTTTCCCGCCTGGGAACCCTGCAAGCTGAGGAACCACCAGTGAACTTGTTAATCCAGGGACAGTAACTGAGCAAAATTTGGCCTCTGTGAGTTCTCCCTCTGCAACCCACTGAACGGCTTTTCAGAGCTAACGGCAAAACAACAGCAGGAGCAGCAAGATTTCCATGTAGTTCTCAAATCCCTTGAGCTTATCAGAGCGAAGCTCCTTTGCTCTGGTGCAAGGCCCTGAGCAAGCTGCACTTCAAGGCACACACTGAAGAGCAGAGGATCCCACAGACATCTCTGCTGAAACAGTGCTGCACAACTCGAGTACTGGAGTCTGACCCTGCACAGCCCATCTCATCATACTCTTCTATAGCACTGTGTTTCTGTGACAAATTTCCCAGAGTTTTGCCCAGTTGGTCATCTTTAGCAGGGGATGCTGCTATACTATAGCTTTTAAAGCGGCAGATGGGATGGCACAAACAGCAG